AAATTATTCCTTCCCACTTTCACTTAATATGTATTTTTTAATTGTAAATTAATTTCTCTAGATATACTGTACATGACATAAATTTTTTTAATTCCTATTCCTTTATTCGTTTTTTTTTTTCTCTAATTAATGATTTTCCTGTTGTTTACTAATCCTTTGTATTTTTCTTTCCTTATTTGCCTTTTGTATTAGTAGTGAAAGTAGTTTATTTGATTTCTCTAATTAGTTTTCCTTTATAGCCAATTTAAATTTTATTATCAATCCTAGCTCACTTAGGTAATATTGTAAAATTTGTTGCTTGTCCAATTTTCATTGTTTTTGTAAATGTATATGTTTGGCTGAATAAAGAAAGAATGAATGAATGAATGAATGAACAGTAAAAAACCAAAAACAGGATTTTGGGTCATTCGATCTTGGGTAGTAACACCAAAAATTTGTTGGCCTACAAAAATATCCTACAGTATGCAGTATAGTACAATTTAATTCAAATTTTGAAGTTAATCAAAATAGACCAAACTACCAGCATGTATCTCCGAGTTAAGTAGATACAGTACCTATTCTTGCAAACTATGCCTACTATACCAACTATTCTGACCTACAAAAACCACCTACAGCTTACCAGATCTTCTTTCACTTGTAAGACATTACTTTAAAATATAGAACAAAATGGGTGGGAAAATAAAAATGTATTACTGCATTATCCGAATCACTGTCATTAATACTTACATTAATATTACTGTTTATATACCTCATACATAGATTCTAGGCATCTGATTGGTTAATAAGCGGCCAATAAAAAGAGGGCACGGTAACTTGTTACATTTCATCCTTTATATTCACACAGTTACACACTTTATATTAAAAGTAGGAAAGATCTAATTATTTCTTGTTGCTGGTAAGTACTAAGGGAGTAAAATACAGGAATATTAATTTAAACTTTTTACCATTTGTGGTACAGATATAGCGGAGGAAATGAGTGCAGTTACTGACAGACCTGCCAACTCACCCAATCATGTCGGGTGTCACCCGATATTTAGACAAATCTCCAGTTCTCCCGATCGAATGTAATTTTCACCCGATTTCACAGGCCAACCCCCAAAATACTCCGACTTAAGCATAATTTGATTGATTTGATCGTTATTATTCAATGTACAGTATTCGCCGTCTGCTTGCTTCGCGGTGCAATAAACAAGCAGCCATTTTCATTTCGAATGTAACCACCAACGGCCTATGATTTGTAGCGACGACTTTTTTGGTATCTTACATCATCTTTTGGTTAATTCTGGAAACCTCCAGATTTTCATGACCCAAGAGTTGACAGGTCTGTACTGGTGTTACATAAATTAGACGCAAAAAAATCTAAGAATTAAAACAAATTCCGATATCTAATGTCCGAAGACAGACAAAACTGAAGTTGTATGCCATGGAATACTGCATTAGTATACTAGAAGTACATGGTTAAAGCCTAAAAATTCTATGCCTAATTTGAGCCTGGAATCTCAAATAGTACAAAATAAGATATTACATAAATTATATTTTCACAACATAATAACAATTAAAAAAATATACACATAATTATATAAAGACTAATGACAATAGGCCAATAGTGGGTTGTACATTAAATCTTTACAAACAGAACAATAATGAATATTATTTTAGTTTTGATAAATTATAAAGATTATTAATAGAATCTTCATAAATGCCACCAGTTGGTAAATTACTGTATAAAGTTTAGGCTTATAATTATTATTATTATTATTATTATTATTGTATACTTATATAGCGCATATCAAACTTCTCTATGCGCTGAACATTATTACCCCGGATCACTGGATCAAGCACATATGGAACACACACTCAAGCCCCATTGGGGAATTCCATAATGTTGCAGCTGTATTCAGCGCAGGCTGTGTTTGAACCTACCAGGTACCCACTTTTACTCCTGGGTGGAGAGAGACAACCGTAGATAAAGTGCCTTGTCCAAGGACACAAGCGACAAGCACAGCAAGAGTTTTGAACCCCCGACCTCGAGGTTGGGAGTCCAAACCACAACCGATGCGCCAACCACTCCTACGGTTCTGACATTACATACTGTACATTCAATAGAATATTTTGTCACTCGCATCACAAACTAACACGATCAAGGTAGATTGTGTTAGTTCGTGAAATCACAGAAGCGTGTCTAAACAAGCGCATATTGGTTGTCAGGCACTTTTGTATTCTTTACTACACAAAAAGTCTGTAACAACAACAGTGCATATTTTGACGCGCTTTTTTAAATAACACAATCTAATTTAATTTGAATGTGTTAGTTCCTGTTGTGTTAGTTTGTGATGTGAGTGATGATTTGAGGCATAGTTAGGAGAGACGAATTAGGTACCATCAGCTAATCATCAATTTGACACTCTAGAAAGGTCCACTGCAGAATGCGAATACATCAATTGTTTGTGGTATTAATATTAAATACAGAACACCCCAAAAAACAAAATATTATTATAGCGCAAGGGTAATCAACAAACTTTCAATGAGAAAGTCAGAACTATTCCAGTTTAAAAGAAATAGTAATAATTTATGTCTGTTTTCTATCAAATTATCTTTGACAAGAAACTGTTATGCCCATAGTAGTCCTAGTGTGCCATCATGTGACACCATCGTGACCATAGTTAGGCATGTCACAAGTTTTTATCAAATACAATTTGATAGTCTGGACAGGACTTTTGACAAAAATTGTTTTTCTAGGTGATAGGTTTACTTTAAAAATAAAGTTAGATTTGATGGGTCATCCAATTCCCAAGCTCCTTAGAGTTTTTTGTAAGGTACTTTTCATCCTTTAATATTTATATTTAAACATCAATTTGCATTTGTTTGTAATATTTTATGGACTCTACTCATCTTAGACTTTCAGTAAGGGTATGTTCACAAACACGGCGTATGGCTGGCGTAGCGTACGCCTTTGTGTGTGTACTAGCCAGTGGCGTTAATTACGCCACTAACAACGCCACCTCATTGGCGTTATTAACACTACCTGCAGACCCCAGATTAGTTAACGCCATGGAGCTAACGCCAGTGATGCTTGAATGATTTGACCTCATTTCAAGAGATTAACCAATCACGATTGCAGTAGATTAGTTACTTTGATCTCTTTCCTGTGCTCTCTCTAAATGAAATGGTAAAGGGGTTCTTTTTCTGTTGCATTTTACTTAGTCTACAATGTATATGATCTGTTGATTGTTTTTTGTAAGATATTTTAACCTATTTAGACTGTCTATTAAAACCTGTTCATTTAAAATACATTAATCATATAGGGCCTTCACTTTCACTTTGAACCATTTACAGACTTAACAGTTTAATGATGCACTGTAAATATTTTACTACAGTTAAGAACACATACATTATTTAAAAATGAAAACTATTCCCCCATAGACCTATATTACTACTAGTTTAACGGCAGCGTTAATATAGCGAACGTCGTTTGTGTGAACGCTTTGGATTTTTAATCCGTGGATTAGCTTACGCCGGCGTAAGCTACGCCAGTTTTACGCCGTGTGTGTGAATATACCATAAGTGTTTCACTTAACCCCGAGCTTGTGCATTTCTTGTGAAGAAATTGAGAATGATCAGCAGAATGAGCTGTCTAATGCCATAATCTCTTAAAATGAATACACATTATTGTCTGAAATATAGATAAAGATTACTTGTATAGATACTGTAGATGAATGATATTAATAATTTGGTACTGAACCTATCTACAGTATTTCAGATACTGTAATAAAAAAAAATATAGGTTAAATATTTCCCACATGAATAAAATATACGAGCGGTACTGGGTAAAGACAACTTGTAGATTTCTTTCTTCGGACAAGGTATCCATTCGTAGAAGCCTTACGAAAAGCCTATCAAATATTGACATTAAAGGGTCGAAACCAGGACATACTGTACCTCCGACTTTAAATTGACAGAGACAGAAGACTGTTAAATGTAGACACAATGTATACATAGGCCTAGAGTTAAGTGTAAATTTAAAAATAAGCTTATCATAATGAATGTATAGTGTTATAATCTGTTAATTGTGAATAAGAAAAACATTAAATTTAGAAGAATAAAATATATATCAATCAATCAATCAGTGGATTTAAAAGGCACATAATACAGCAGTCTCTACGTGCCAATAAAAAAAAAGACCAATGAAGGTGAAGAAGCAAGCAAAGTGGGTGCGAGACCAGGTGCCATTAGGGAAGAGTCAGTGTGCTGTTCTTCTGCACTTTGAGGGCCAGCCGACTGATCTCACGGAAACATAATTCACAAGATCACTGTCCCAACCCATTCCCTGACAACACCTGGAAACACACAAAATATAATTAAATAATTGGCTGATAAATACATATCTCCCTTTAATTAAAGAACTCTCTCTAACTGCGATGCTTGTTTACAGGCGGTCATGTAACATAACTTGGTTATACATGAAAAACATTATAGTGTGAAAGTATAGGAAAAGATAATGTTATGGTTGTGAAAACAAGCACCCACTGTTAATGTGAGAAATAAATCGCTAAAAAAGGCAATATGATTGTTCAAAATTGTGTTTATTTACTTATCCTAGCATTCTCCTAGGATTGTATGCTTTGAAATTTAAGTGATCTTTCATAAACCGTAGCAAGTCCTAACATGGCAGCATATTGCGGGTCGAAGACCATCATGCATGCCTAACCATGCCGTAAATATGCAGGGGCCTAGGCCTAACATTTGTCGTAAAATCTAAAAGTGTGTGGCCAGTATCAGTTACAGCATTAGCGAACCATTAAGGCAAAATTCTCAAGTTTAATTTCCAATCAATTTGTTATAGTTTACTGGGAATTATGATGATCTTTACAGCAATAACACGGACGGCTGCAATAGCAATCTCCTTGTAAAACACCGCTGCGCCAGTCGATTATTTGTATCCAACACCCAAGTTAGGTCACATGACGCCCATCGCCGAATCCCTCTATTGAATGCCGACATTTAATCTTTATCATAATAAAAGCTGCTTGAGACTTTGGTCCGAAAAGTGGTTATGTGCTGTATTACCTGTGGCGTACCTACAGTAGATCCCCAAGTCGTCCCTCTACTGAAAATGCTTGAAGCACCCCCTCATAGTGTATTACTTATTTTGGAAGCTAGCACTCCTCACTTATCAATGTTCACCTTTGTGCCCTCATTTCCAGACTCCTATACTAGATACGCTACTCTGTTACTATGTTTTCATGGCACTTTTATTTTGCTAATCATGTGAATGTGATAGGCCTACCATCACAAATGGACACCCAAGACACTATTGATAATACAGTAATACAAACATGACAATCATGTCATAAATTTACAAAGATGGGCTACTGTAGTTTGTGGGAGTCCGTCCCAATTTCCTAGAGATTCCTGTGACTCACTCCTGACAAGATAATCTCTTGCTCTTGTGTGAAGAATGTACTGCAATTTTTAGCATGCACAGGTTGCCCATGGTTTGCATAGCTTAAATGTATTCGAAAGAAAAGTGCGCAGCCTTCCAACTGAAACAAATAAGGGAAACGATGGAAACAAACCAGAGATCAAAGGTCTGAAGGCCCCATCCCCACCTCCCCCTCCCCCTTGAAAGAAAAAGAAATTATTGATCACCCTAAACACCTCAGAGGTTATTTCCGGCAATCTAGAAAACAAAAACTTCTTACATACCTCCCTCATGGAAGTAGACCTTTGTTTGATCACAGTATTACAGGAGACTGCTGTTTCCAGAGGATTTACGACTCCAAAAAGAATAGTACTTTAACGTAGGACAACTGACAACAATGCACTATATTCTGTTCCTTTTTTCAAGTAAACAAGGTAATACTATGGACCTTTACCTCCACTTTCTTTCCTGAAACACAATTTCCAAAGATGTATTTTCATGTCATTGTTATTTGGAATGTTCTTAAGGAAGTGCACTTCAAAATTATACTGCAGCTATTGGTAAGAACTTGTAATAGTTTCCGGGCCAATTAGTAATGAATAATAATGCCAATTCTTATTCTTTGTAGACCGTTTATTGGCGAAGAGTTTTAGTGCGCGTACTAACAAATCATTATAATACACAAAGTAATCACTGAACAACCGGCCAATGCAACCAGCAGTTTGATTTACGAATATACTGTATAGCAACCATTCTACAATGAATGAATGAATGTTTGATTAAAGGGCCATAGTAAAGGTGATGGATTTCACAAATATCTTATTCAATTATATTCAAGTAATTTCGTAAAATATAGAAAATGGAAGCCTTAGGAGCCATTATTTCCTGAAAATATTGCCTAAAGCCAGTAGGGCTGAAGGCAATTTTTACAGGAAATAATGGTTCCTTCTGCTATTAGATTTTTCCTATAGTGTACTCAAAACCTGACTACTGTATATAGTAATTGCTTATTTATACTGTATGTGCCCATGGTCGCTGTGAAGTTATACTGTTAATACACCCAAATATGGGCATATTTTGTCACATAACATTTAGTGTGGACAGACTTTTATATAGTTAATGTTATGCTCCTGAATTATTCTTACAGTTGTTCATTTTTTAATAATTATGTGGTAGTTTAGGTTGACTGAACAAACAAGACAACGACAACCATAACGTTCCAGGTTCTTTTAATCGTCAATGTTTAAGAGATTCACGATCACCAAAAATATCAATCACATCGACACAACAAACAAAAACCCATGTAAAACAGCAGAATTACAGTCTCAATACATACATCATTATTGCATCATACATTTGTAACTCATGTACAGCATTACTACACAATACCATTACAACAATTAATCATTTAACAATATTACCTAACCATTACAATATCAATGCATAGTTACATAACAATGTGCACCTGGATTTAAACAAAAACTAACTTTGGAGGAACACAACCATTGTTAGCCGCCTACAAACCATACAACAGTATTCAATCTAGGAATGAACCATTATAATTGTTAGCGATGTAAAGATAACGAAAATATAAAATGAGTCCAATAATACACTACAGCTTCACACAGCTGTACCATTGCGGCATGCATACCTATCATCTACTAACACCATTTCTTGGTTGCAAACATGAGAAATACTACCTACACTGATACTCGAATCAATTATAAATAAATCAAAATCAAACATCGCTAAAGATATCGCAATGTATAGCGTTACTATTATCAATATACAACATCAATATAACAATTCATTAACATACCTGCAAACTTATTTAAGTTTATGTTACAGTAAAGTAAGTTTACAGTACAGTAACGATGGATGTGTTCAACAGCTAGCAACCATGTGAAAACCACTATATACCCAGACAAGCAAGATCATTACGCGCATACAGTATTACGTATCATTCAGGCAGCTTAAGTACCTGGATGCAATACTTCGTGGTGCAATTACTACGCGCCAAGAAAGAGGTCAACATGTTTACTCGCTCTTCCACAATTATTTTGGTATTTTTTGTTAAAGTGCTATGTATGCAAGGATTTACTGAACACTAGGGCAAGTGCTGCTGATTTGAAATGAGTCATTTCAAAAATATATAATGTATACCATTCCTTTGGTAAGCCTACCTTGGATATAAGGCCACCCCCTACTTTATGCCTAATTTTATATACCAGCCTTCAACGGGCAAAAGCAGGGGTTTCCCTTAAGGTTTTTTTTAACTAGCCAAGTGGACCAGTGAATTAATATTTTTACTGGTCCTCAATCCCTTTCACTAGCCAGGGGCGGATCCAGAGATGTCCAAAAGGGGGGGGGGCAAAATTTGGGCTGATCGAGACAACAATGTCCTAGGGGGTCCGGGGATGTCCCCGCAAAATTTTTGTGTTCTAGTCGCCCAAAAATAACATTTGAGGCGTTGTGGGCTATCATTTTTTTTCTTTTTCTTTTTTTACCTCCCAAAAGTGGGGGCCGGGCCGTGCCGTCTCCTCCCTAACTAGCCACTATCTTGCCAACTTCGGAAGGCCCAAATACCATATTTTTGACATTCTAATCATGCTGCCCCGTCCCCCCCCCCACCGATGAAGTAACACTGACAGATACAGAAAAATCTTTCTGTTGTCTCTGTATGGGAAATTATGCCGCGAAATATAAATACAGGAATCTATTTGTATGTACAATACGATGTTCACTACGATGTTCAGTTTTCCGGAAAGATCGGTTTGTGGAACATTTCTATTGAATCGTTTCCGAATAAGGCAGGCCAGTTAGGGCCTAGCCTAGGCCTAGACGCTAAAAATAGGCTTAGCAGCATAGGCTAGCCCAGTGAATTCGGTATGACTAGCCTACGAAAAAAGTTAACATTTAACATATATTCTGTAATACGTACAGTACCTGTTGTTTAGCTGTAGTGTACAGCAAATTGTATTACTGTACCAATAAAATGAATGCTTTTATATTTTTTTTACGTGCATTTTCGGTCTGACATTTTTTTCTAATTAAACTGTAAACACAACACATTCTTCGTTGTCACGACGATGCGACTTGTTGTAAATATCAGGTCGCGCCTCATAAACTCTGCCCGCTAATTGGTTAATTTTTTTCGTGGGGTCATGTTGCTGGGCAAAAATCCCATGTGCTTGGCTGTGGTGACGTCAGATCGCCCAAAGTTTCATAGTGCGTGACAGCTTGCTGACAGAGGAACAAGCTAGTGTAAACCGATAAATTTTTAATTAAACAAATTTATTAAAATGATTAAGAAACCCTCGTGGTTTTGTTTTATTTTAGAGTAAAATCTAAAAATAAATCTAACAAATTAAAATTTAATTCTCTGCAAATTCCCTCCGTAATTAGCAATGTTTTTGGGGAATGTGAGTGTAATTTACATGTTGACTGATATATGAATCTAATGACATACCAAATCCGAATTAAACGTCTACTGAAAAAGAGCCGTCGTAGAAACAATTGCTATCCAACTCCGTGCTTTATCTAACATTTTACTGGCGTGTCGTTTTAATTAATAGATAATGGCAATGCTATTGGGACTGTACAAACGGTTCATTTCGTCTTTAAATCGTTGCGTTGTTTATTAACTTTTTGTCCCACGTTGCATTGTGGGATGGATACATGACATGGATGTTTTAACTTCACGGCGTTCACACAGACGGAAATCAACTTCTCCTTGTCGCTATACATGCGGAGAAGGTGATTTCCCTCTGTACGTCAAGCCTAGCCATGGATTCCTCTCTATGGTCTAGGCTAGTGCGTGATGTTCACCGGTTCGCCTTGAATGACTGAGACCATGCTGAGACCGAGGCTGTTCGTAGCGGACATTAACATGACAATAAACAGAAAATAGCGATCTTGTTCACATTATCTGTGTGAAATATTTTGTAAAGACATCGTTAAGAGGTGAATGATGAAAGCTTTAGGTATTTTGACAGACTTTCATTGACATTTTAACTGGTCACGCGGACTTGTTATTGGGATAATTAACAGGTCCGCCATGCATTTTACTAGCCATTGGCCGGCGGACCAGCGTTATTTCGAACCCTGCAAAAGGGTACGACTTTTACGAATATTAGGGCGGTTTCGCATGCGAACGCGTACGGTTAGTGTGACGGATATGTCATCATTTTGACGTCATACACCGGATGCTATCCGCTAAACGTGTGGACGACACACATATCTTACTCACTACACGTAAGTGAAAAACTAGTAGGGAAATTTTGGATTTCCAGTAGGATCTTAGTTTATTTTTTTACATTTTACGTTAGTGTAAATAATAAATTTATCGTTAAATAAGTATGTGCCATTTTTGTAACATTTGAAGACAGCAAATTAAGATAGGATGCGTCTTATTTTGGGGTATCAAAACGTTGGTGCTTTGACCTTGGTGGGTGTCGGGATTTTGTGTAGGCCTAGCCTACAGTACTTCTAAGGGGCCTCATTGCAGCAAACACTTTTGGGTCATAAAAAATATTAATAGCCAACACTTCTGGGCAACAAAGGAAGTATTTTTCGGCTACAATTTTCTATTTTAATTTCTAAAACCTTATATATACTAATAAAACTTTGAGAAGCACGATGAGAGAAGAGAATAGAATAAATAGTACTAGTAGGCCTAAAGTAAGGCCCTAGGCCTAGGCTACGCTTGAATTGCAAAAACACAGAATAGCTCTATGAAAAGTTACGGATAGCTAAACATATGCGTGCACACATTCGTTGGCGTGCAAAACCTCTCTATTCTCAGAAATAAACATCAAATATTGGCTTTGAATTAGCAATGTACTGAAAAATTGCCATCTGATTAAAAAGGAGATACCCCAGGTATAACCCCACCCTAAAAAATTAGCCCAATTTTGTGTGCAAGGAGGAGGGGAGTGGGTGTCGACTTATACTACCAGAGGAACTACGATAATTATTACTGTATCACATAGATCTATGCTTGCTTTAAATTTACTGACATACTTGTCACCAATTGAAAAAACAAATTAATTGGAGTAACTGACTTTTGTATAGGCTCTAAATATTAAAATGTAGATGTTAAATTTAATATAATTGAAATTACTTTCAATTTTGAGTGCTGCTTTTAAGTTGACATATGATATAAACAATTTAATAGTGACTTTATATTCTTTACAAGTTCAATACATGTAACACTCTAATACATGTCCTTGGACAACACTTAACTTCACAATGTCTAAATATAGTCAACGGGCCATGTTCTACTTAATTCTTATAAGTGTACATATAAATAGCAGTTTTTATTATTATTAAACTTTAACACCCTACTGTACTTCCATAAAGAGATACAGTATATCCAGGACTTTCTTTAAATAGAGAGCTCAAAATATATATTTTTTATAAAATTCTTAATTCAGATTTAAAAAAGTCAGAGACCAATTTCTCATGAA